CAAGAGTCTGTTGATGTTGTTAGTCCTTTCAAAGAACCAGCTTTTTAACTTATTGTGCAATTCGGATGCTTAAATCCTCTGTGACCTCTCAACACATTTAGATTAAACTGCAAAGTCTTTCCTGTGACTCATAAGATCTGGACAATACTTACTCTCTCACAGTATTTCTTACTTCTTTCTTTCTCTCCCATTTCCTGATCTTGTACATGTCTAGTAGCTCCATACAAGGGAATTTACCAAAGGTACCTTTGCACTACCTTGCCTGAAGTTTACCTTTCTAGTCCCATTTATGTACCTTGTACCTTCACTCTCCATCTGTTCATTCGAGTCTCTTATCAGACGACTTCCAATGTACCATATCTGAACTAGTATCTCTTCCCTATTCCTCCACTTTTTCTATTTCCTTACTCTTATTTAATTTTCTTTCTAGAGCTTAACACTCTGTTTTATATATTTATGTGCTTATTTCTTTTCCTTCTATAACCATCAACTACCCCATTCCCTACCCCTACTGGAAGCAAATAAAGTTTTCTCGCAGTTGTTCACAATTGCACACTTAGTGCATAGAACTGTTTCTGACACGCGTAATTGTGTTTATACAGATATATATTTACTTATATGTTTATATATATACATTATATATATATATTTGAATGAGTGAAGGCTCTCACTCCTGCTTAGTCTAGTTTTAGCAATAACCTTATGATATAAACATTAGAAAATAATTAATAGTCTGATGTTTATATTTTTACTCTATAGTCAGCCTCACAACGTTTTTTTCACTTAAATAAAAACCTGGTGAGAGATTAACAAATACATTTAATAAGTGGTGACCTTGATTAATCACTTCCTTATAAGATAAAATATAACTATCATCAATGATGGAACAGTTTTCAAAAAAACTCTTTTTCTGTCACGGAAGCGTTTAAATTAAAAAGCTAAAACCCTAGTATGGAGTTTTGAGCTGATTTTTTATAAATTTTTGGATCTGTAATTTGGCAAATATGGAAGGCTTCTCCTTTGATTAGATAACATTTTATATTAAGATAGAATAATATCTGTGTAATAAATTAGCATAAATAATAATAAGATTTGGAAATGATCAAATTTAAACAAGTGTAAGCTCATTTTAACACAGGTCACCAAACTTATACTTGTATATTTTTAAGATATGTGTGCAAGTCTCTACATGTTTTCAGTTTTAATTGATTGAATAATTAATTTGGCCAACAGGGAAGTAGTACATTATCTACTTCCTCCCAGCTTTCTAATTTTTTCTTGTGCTATGCCTCTCACACTCAGTATGTTTCCTATCAACAAGTTTCTTTTCAATGCTCAAACACACTAGCAATTTTCTGCCTTAAGATATCAGCACCTAGCCCCTTTCCCTGAAAGTCTTTCATCTGGATGACTTTTTTTTAAAACTGTAGTTCATGTCACTTATTTAGAGGAGTATTCTCTGAGTCCTGTCACAGCTTCACGCATCAATCCCAAATTAATTTCCCTTTTAATACCATTTAATAGCAGTCCGTTTCTTCATTAAAGCTAAGAGCAATTTGTAATTATGTGTTTATATTTAAGTTTACTTGTCTCATGTCAATCTTTTCTGTAGTTTTCTAAGCTGTATGAAAATAGGTAGCTTTGTGGTTTTATTAACCATAAAATAGTCTTCATCAAGTATGGATTCTTGTCTAAACAGCTGTCTAATAAGTTAAAAAAAAATTTTTTCACATTTTTTTATTTTGTCTAAATGGATATTATGGGACACTGGATCAAAAGCTACGCAGTGTACAGATTAAAAGCTTTGAAATTGTATTACAGATTAAAGTTTTTATTAATATCTGGCACATAATTTTTTTATTTTAAACAAGGGGGGTAAAACTCAGGGTTATGTACACATATGGTCATTGTACAGGTAAAGTTTGGACCCCACTTGGGTCCCCACTTCACCTGGTTTGAGATCAGGTACCCTTATTGATGAAGTGTGTCTCCCCATCCCCTGGCAGTTTCCCATTACTGCCAATCCCTTTCTTGTAGTATTATGATAACTGTTCATGGTCCGCTTCTGAGTGAAAACATGTGGTACTCTGTACTTTGTTTCTGTGATAGATCATTGAATATAACAGACTCTAAATCCATTGAAGTTGCTGTGAAATTCATAAATTTGTCCTTCTTTATGACTGTGTAGTACTCCATTGTGTATATGTATCACATTTATTTTTAATCCAGTCTACTTTCAATGGGCAGCACAGTTGGTTCCATGTTTTTGTTATTGTGAATAGTGCTGCAATAAACATGCATGCATAGGTATCTTTTTTGTAGAATGATTTGAGTTCCTCCAAGTATATTCCCAGAAGGGAGATTGCTGGGTCATATGGAAGGTCAATTTTTAGACCTCTTAAGAATCATCACACTATTTTCCACAGAGATTGTACTAGTTTACATTCCCACCAACAGTGCAGAAGTGTTTCCTTTCCTGCATCCTCTCCAGCATCTGTTCTTTTTTAGTTATTGATGATGGTCATCCTGATTGGAGTTACGTGATATCTCAGTGTAGTTTTAATATGCATTCTTTGATGATTAGTGAGGTTGAGCATTTTTTCATGTATCTGTTGGTTGCTCATATGTCTTCTTTTGAGAAGTGTCTATTCATATCTTTTGTCCACTTTTTAATAGGACTGGTTTTTTTTTTCTTTTCGTCATGTTTGAGTTCCTTGTAGATCCTAGATATTAGATCTTTCTGAGATACACCGTGGGCAAATATTTTGTCCCCTCTCTGTTGGCTGTCTCCTTGCTCTCTTGATGGTTTCTTTGGCTTTGCAGAAGCTTTTCAGTTTGTTGAGATTCCATTTGTCTATCGTATCTCTTATGAAATGGGCACTTGGGGGTTTTGATCAGGAGTTGGGGGCCAATTCCAATTTCTCTAAGAGTGTCTCCTGCATTTTCTAAGGTTCTTATAGTTTGAGATTTTACGTGTGGGTCTTTGATCCATTTATAGTTGATTTTTGTGTATGGTGATAGATAAGGATCTTGTTTGAATCTTCTGCATCTGGTCAACTAGTTTTCCCAGTACCATTTACTGAATAGGTTCTCCTCTCCCCAGTAGTTGTTAGTGGAGGCCTTGTTGAAGGTTGGTTGAGAAATTGAGGTTTTGCTTCCGGAATCTCTATCCTGTTCCATTCATCTATATGCATGTTCTTGTACAAATACTAGGCTATTCTGATTATTATAGGCTTATAATAAAGCTTAAAGTCTAGAAGTGTGACACTTCCCACTTTGTTTCTTTTACTGAAAATTGTTTTGGCTGTATTGTTGTTTCCAGATCTGAGAAGAATGCTGCTGGTAATTTAATGGGTATTGTGTTAGAGCTATAGATTGCCTTGAGTAGGATGTACATCTTAACAATCTTGATTCTTCCAATTCATGAGTATGGAATATTTTTCCATTTGTTTGTGTCACCTTTGATTTCTCTGAGGAAAGTTTTGTAATTTTCATTGCAAAGGTTTTTCACTTCTCTGGTTAGGATGATGCCAATGTATTTCTTTGTGTGTGTGGCGGGGGTGGGGTGTCTATTGTGAATGGGATTGTGCTTTTTATTTGGTTCTCTGGCTATTTGTTTTTGATGTATTAGAATGCTGCCATCTTTTGCACATTGATTTTGTACCCTGCAACTTTGCCAAAGTACTTTATCAGTGGAAGAAGGTTTTTGACAGATTCTCTTGGATTTTCATGGTATGGAATTATATTGTCAGCAAAGAGGGATAATTTGACTTCCTCTTTATCTATTTGGATTCCCTGATTTTCTTCTCCTTTCTGATTGCTCGGTCCCCTAGCCAGATTGACAAAAAAAAAAAAAAAAGAGTGAAAAAGCCCAAATAAACACTATCAGAAATGCAAAAGATCAAATCACAATGGACCTTGAAGAAATACAGCAAACTACCAGAGATTACTATGCATACCTGTATGGAAACAAACTTAAAAACCTAAATTAAATGGAGGATTTCCTGATGTCACACAACTTTCCAAGTTTGAAACAAGAAGAAATGGAGTTATTAAATAGACCAATAACAATCCAGGAAATGGATTCCATCATAAGAAGACTACCCACAAAAAATGTCCTGGACCAGATAGCTTTCCAAAGGAGTTTTACAAAAAATAAAAGAGGGAGCTGATACCAATCCTATTGAAAGTATTCCAAGCAATCGAGAAAGATGGAACTCTCCCTAAATCGTTTCATGAAGCTAACATCACACTGATACCCAAACCAGGTAAAGATCCAACAAAGAAAGAGAGCTACAGGCCAATTCCCTGATGAACATAGTTGTAAAAATACTCAAGAAGATTCTAGCAAATCAAATCCAACAATACATCTCAAAAATCATCTACCATGATCAAGCAGGCTTCTTCCCTGGGATGCAGAGTGGTCAACATCCACAAGTGCATAAATGTAATTAAATATATCAACAGATATAAAAATGAGAATCACATGATTATATCATTAGATGCAGAAAAAACTTTCAATAAAATCCAGCATCGCTTCTTGATAAAAACCCTTGAATGCCTAGTCATAGAGGGAACATACCTAAAAAGAGTAGTAGGAGCTATCTATGATAAAGCCATAGCCAACATATTGCTAAATGGACAAAAATTGGAAGCATTTTCTCTGAAAACTGAAACAAAACAAGTCTACCCATTTTTATCCCTCTTGTAAAAACTTTTAAAAATGAAATCAATAGATAACTTATCTGACAGGTCCATTAGAAGGCAAAGCAACTCAAAATTAAAAATTCTTTTAGAATCACAAAGAGATTTTTTTCTATAATTGAGGCAATTGTCAATCAGTCTGTGCCTTAAGATTCCTAAAAAGATTCCATAATGAAAGAATTCAAACAAAATTATTAATTATGGCATTAAAGTATCACAACAATTTGAAGAAAAATGCATTCTAGGTGTGTTTATAGTCTAATGTACATTAAAATGTTATAAAAAGTCATACTTACTTAATAATCATCATGGCACATGGGGTGCATCCAGTTGCAAAGAAAAAAAAATTCAAGACTTGCACTGCAACATAAATGTAAAATTTCCTTGTGCAAGTGTCATCTCTTGAGCATTCACCCAAATGGGCTGAGTAATTTTTGTTCTGGGAACCAGTTACTTCCACACAACTACAGCTATAGAATACCTAAAAAATCATTTTTGAAATATTACAGAATACGTTTGCAAAACACAACAGGTAAAAACACATTCCATTATATTTAAAGAAGTCTCATTCATTGAAAGTAAAATATTTACAGTTTAAAATAATCTAAGAATATTGCTGCTAAATAGATGAAAGGTGAAATAGTTTCTTGGGCTTTTAAATATAAAATGTAATTTATTTTTAGGTTTTAATTATTTTTATTTTTAATTATTAGAAAATAAAGACATTAGTGTCTGAAACTCTATATAATTTTTCATTAATATTAATTTTTAATATTAATCTTTCTCCCACTTTTAGTTTCTATAACACACTTACACTTTTGAACAATGTCTACTAAGTATCAGAGACATGCCCTAGGGAAGAATGACCCAAAGAATCCAAAAAATATAGCAGCTTGGAAGGGTTCAAAATCTGGAACTAAAATCACCACAGGAATGGGGCAGAAATAATGCTAGGCAATGGTGTTCAAATTTTATTTTAGTAGGAAAAAACAGCAGGACCATAAAGACAGATAATAAAATAGATGATATTGACAGAGCGGTCCAACACAACAGAATATCCTGACTAATAATTAAAGCACAGAAAGGGAGAACTTAGAAACAAGGGATTTTAGATATTTAATCAGGAAGGCAGTTTATACATATAGGCAGCTTAGGTGAAATTCTAGAACTGTGGTCTCAAGAAATGTCCCCACACGCCCTCCAAACTAAAGTTCAGGGGAAGTTCATTTTGAACCTATTAGTACTAAACACTAATTACTGAAGAAGAAATTGTAGAAGAATTAAAATCCATACTTGCACAGTTCAACCAAGCCTAATTTCTACATTTTTACCTTTTTTTCACTAGAAATAATATGGAAAAATCTTTTATGGAGCAAGTATACAGCCAAGTAAACCAAGCTTTGACACAAAGAACATTATTTTAAGAAGAGAATATTTATTAATAAATATTTAGTAAAATAATTTAGTAGTAGTACCCAAATGATGTAGTCATTGCCAGCATTAAGAAGATGATGTCTGCAGTGTAGACAGAGCACTCTTTAAGATTTTAGGATCATGTGTCTTTCAGGCCTTCAGTAGAGGTAAAAGTAGGACCTTGCATTAAATGAGGGCACCCTTACTGAAAGGTACTATAACTATGAATGTGAGATGTAGGCTTTTACATACAATCTTTGGAGCATATTTGTGCAAGTTTATAAAGGTTGTGGCCTTTTTTTTTTTACAGTCACTGAATTTGGATTCTTATTTTCCTTGCAAGAACAAAAGGTTCTCTAAAATCCTTCAGCCATCAGTGAAATGATCAGGCAGGAGAAACACTTCTTTAGGTGGGAGTCTTGTCATCAAAAATAAATACAATTGCATGGAGCTGCTCAAGATCTGAACCAAATTAAAAACAGGAAAGCAGGGCCTAAAAAATTGTTTTAAGAATTGCCCCAACTGTCACTCTGTGGGCTGAACAGGGAGGGTCGGAACCATCTTGGAGTAAGAAGCCATGGCTGGATGGATCAGATCTGGCTCTGATGGTGCGCAGGGAGCTGCGCTGGTAAATGACACCAGCGCTGCTTCCGAGGGGCGGACAGGGTTGAAGCGTGCCCCTTACTGCTGTAACTCCTTCAGTCTGTTCAGGGTACGGTCTATCTTTAATGAACCTAAGAAGCTTTATTCTTCACAGTTCTCTATGTCTTTCTGTAACACAACTGGTAGTACACAGATAAAAGAAAAGATGAAAATCAACACAAAAGGATGTGTCAGAGGACAATAATCAGAGTTAACTGTATTGCTAATATTGATTATAGGAAAGGGCCTTGGAAATTGTTACTGAACTTTGTGAGATGTGAGTGAATTGGCATGGCAGTATGGAGAACACCATATCTTATCCTCATACCATTCAGAGGTACCCAAGAGCTTGGGGAAGACCCAGAGTTTGTGGAAAAACATGTTTTGAGTGAAGAAATAAATGGCATCTCTATGGGATGTGCTGGCAATGTGTGAACAGGATACTAAATTGTGCTGGGTGGGAAAAGTATCAGCTTTGGAGAAATCAAAAGAGGTATTCAAGAATTGGGCAACCAAGTGAGCATGAAGTCACGATTAATGTCTTGAAGAGAGAAAAAGATAGTGAGCTCAGAGCTAACCTCATCAGAATCCATATATAAAATTTCATGTAGATTGTTGTCCTAGTAAAGTAGGTAGTGCTGACAACAGGTCTTTTACCTAACTTCTTTTCTTCTTTTAATTATTTTTATTTTAAAGATGTGGGGTACAATTCAGGGTTGGGTATACAAATGCTCATTATGCAGGTACCCTTGTTGATGAGTGTGCCCCCTTTCCCCAGGCAGATTCCCAGTACTGCCCATCCCACTTCCCCTCTCCCCTCCTGGCAGTTTCTAGCTACTGCCAATCCTTTTCTCAGAGTAGTACGATAATTGTTCAAGTTCCACTTATTATTGAAAACATGTGATACTCAGTTCTTTGTTCTATGAAAGATCACTTAGTATTATAGACTCTAAGTCCATCCAGGTTGCTGTGAAGTTCATGATTTTTTTCTTCTTTATGACTGCATAATATTTCATCATGTATATGTACCACATTTTTTTACCCGGTCCTCTTTTGACGGGCAGCAAAGTTGGTTCCATATTCTTGCTACTGTGAACAATGCTACAATAAACATATGTGTACAGATATCTTTTTTATAGAGTGTTTTGAGTTCTTCTGGGTATATTCCCAGTAGGGAGATTCTGGTGTTGAATGGAAGGTTGATTTTTAGATCTTTTAGGAATCGCCACACTGTTTTCCACAGAGGCTGTACTAATTTACACTCCCACCAACAGGGTAGAAGTGTTCGCCTTTCTCTGCACCCTCTCTAGCATCTGTTGTTTTTTGAGTTATTGATGACAACCATCCTGACTGGAGTTACCTAACTTCTAAGTGGCTATTTCAACTTGATTGAAATCATACGCTTCAGTCTAATGAGGTATTTCTTAGTGTTCCCAAAGGCATTAAATTCTAAAAGGTCATATTCTTAAAATCTCAAGGTAAAAAAAGGTCAGATGATCAATCTTTTTTTTTTTTTTGAGTCGGAGTCTCACTCTGTCGCCCAGACTGGAGTGCGGTGGCCGGGAGCCTCGACCTGCTGGGCTCTGGCGATCCTTCCACCTCAGCCTTCCAAGTAGCCGGAATTACAGGCATGCACTACCATGCCCGGCTGATATTTTTATTTTTATTGTAGAGATGAGGTCTCGCTGCCCAGGCGGGTCTCGAACCCGCGGGCTCAGGCAATCCACTCACCTCAGCCTCCCAAAGGTGCGGGATTACAGGCTGAGCCACCGAGCCCGGCTTCCAGATGATCAATCTTAAATTAGAATTCAAGCAACAAAAACACAACCTGATTGTATCTTAAGCAGGATTTTATAAGAAGCTTTGTTACACAACATCACAGCCACCAAAATATCAATTCATGTTGAAATTTTTTTCTTTCATCTTTTAACTGGAGACCTTGTATATAAAGGACTTGGTAAGTGTCTGTTAAATCTAGTCAGTGATTTTGGTTAAGGAGAGAAGAGAAAATAAACACTAATACTCACTATAGGCTTTGTATTGCCACTTGAAGACTTGCATCCTGCTAGACAAGGTGACATGTATGTTATTCCATTGTTTCCACAGACCGGTTCCCATTGATTTACATCACAATTGCAGTCTGAGTTGCAATAAGAAAATGGTACATCTATATGAGATGCCACTGGATTATTTCTGGAAATATATGAGAGACATATATCAAAAAGAGACAGAGAATAAAAAGTGAAAGAAGAGGGGGAGAAGGAGGAGAAGGGGGAACCAGGGAGGAAAAAGAGGAGGAGGAGGAAAGAAACAAGAAAAGGAGAAGAGAAAAGAAATGAGAGCTTTCATTTAATTAGATAGAAAAATTTGATTTGATTATACCAAAATGGCAAAGTTCTTTTTTTTTCTTTTACATGCCTATTTGCTTTTCACTCTCCATTGTAACCAAGAAATAACATTTGACCTACAAAAAAAAAAACTAAGAAAGAAACCAAAGAAATTAGGTAAGTCTTGGACAAGAGGTCTTTATGATTTCATTTTTTAAATGTATAGTATATCAGTCATTTCATTTTCCTTAGACTCAATTTCTTTTTAGTAAAGTAATGACATCAGAATGAAGATTCTCCTAGCCCACTGTAAAGCCCTTTAAATCTGTGAATGTTATCTAACTAGTTTGAATTTTCAAATCTTACTTTAATAAGATTTTTAATATTTTAATTACATAAATAAAACTTAGACATGGTTTAAGCAGAGCCTCTGAGGAAGAAAAAGTCAAAAATAGAGTTGATTGAGAAATCTAGAAAAGCTCTGTATATTTTATAAATGAAACTACAGCAAGCTCTATATTGATTTACTTTATAATATGGTTATACACTATAAATTATAATTTTATAACATGGCTAAAATTGTAAAATACATTATTTGGATAATTAATTTTCTGTCTAAAGACTTAAAAATTATTTTTGTAAAAATTTGATCATTGATGATTCATAAATTATCTTTAAATGAGCATGTAATTTAAAGAAATTTTAAAGAAAAAAGTAGACATAGTTCAGAAATTACATTATCAATAATTTTATTAAAAAGTATCTAAGCCTCCACCACCTACCACTGGGAAGAGGAGAACCTATTCAGTAAATGGTGCTGGGAAAACTGGCTGACCACATGCAGAAGATTGAAACAGGACCCCTATCTATCCCCATACACAAAAAATAACTCTAAATGGATCAGAGACCAAAATGTAAAACCTCAAACCATAAGAACCTTAGAAAATGAAGGACATACCCTCATGAAAATTGGAACCGGCATCCAATTCCTGAACAAAACCCGAAACCCACATGCCATAAGAGAGAAGATAGACTAGTGGGACCTCATTAAACTGACAAGCTTCTGCAAAGCCAAAGAAACCATCAAGAGAGCAGGGAGACAGCCTACAGACTGGGAAAAAGTATTTGCCAACTCCAGGTCTGACAAAGGCTTAGTATCTTGGATCTACAAGAAACTCAAATGTGCTGAAAAAAGGAAAACAAACAACCCCATCATAAAATGGGCAAAAAATATGAACAGACACTTCTTGAAGGAAGACATTCGAGCAGCCAACAGACACATGACAAAATGTTTGACCTCACTAATCATCAGGGAGATGCAAATCAAAACCGCACTGAGATACCACCTAACTCCATCAGAATGGCAATTATCAATAACTCAAAAAATAACAGTTGCTGGAGAGGGTGTGGCGAAAAGGGAACACTTCTACGCTGTTGGTGGGAGTGCAGACTAGTGCAACTTCTGTGTAAAACAGTATGATGATTCCTAAAAGCTCTAAATATTGACCTCCCATATGACCCCGCAATCCCCCTACTAGAAATATACCCTGAAAAACTCAAATCACTCTATAAAAAAGATATCTGCACATGAATGTTTATTGCAGCATTGTTCACAATAACAAGAACCTGGAAACAACCATATTGTCCACCAAAAGAGGACTGGATTTAAAAAATGTGGGACATATACATGATGGAATACTATGCAGCCATAAAAAAGAACAAAGTCATGAATTGCGCAGCAACCTGGATGAAACTAGAGTCTATAATACTGAGTGACCTCTCACAGAAACAAAGATCTGAGTATCACATGTTCTCACTCATATAGTGGACCTTGAACATCCAATGTAATACTATAAGAAAATGACTGACAGTGGTGGGAAACTATGGGGGGGATGGAAGGGAGTTGGGATTAACGTTTGTAAATGTCTGTCTGGGGACGGGGAGACACCTCTTGTCAACAAGGGTGCCTGAATGAAGCATGTTTGTAATACCTAATCCTTAACTGTACCCCACAATATCATAACAAAAAATATGGATTATTAAAAAAAAGAAAGAGGACTGGATTTAAAAATGTGGTACATATATATGATGGAATATTATGCAGTCATAAATAATGACAAAATTTTGAACTTCACAGCAACTTGGATGAACTTAGAATCTATAATACTGAGTGATCTATCACAGAAACAAAAGACTGAGTATCATATGTTCTCACTCATAAGCAGACCCTGAACAATTATTGTAATACTATAAGAAAAGGATTGGCAGTAGCAGGAAACTGCCAGGGTGGCGGGGGAAGTGGGATTGGCAGTAGTGGGAATCTGCTGAGGGAGGGGACACACCTCATCGACAAGGATAACTGCATGATGAACATTTATATACCTAACCCTGAATTGTGCCTCACATCATTAAAACAAAAATTTTTTGTTTTTGTTTTTTTTGAGTTGGAGTCTTACTCTCTCACTCAGACTGGAGTGCAGTGGCCGCTCCTGGCCACCGCAGCCTCGACCTGCTGGGCGCCCGCGATCCTTCCGCCTCAGCCTTCCGAGTAGCCGGAATTACAGACATGCACTACCACGCCCGGCTGATTTTTTTGATTTATTGTAGAGATGAGGTCTTGCCAAGTTACCCAGGCGGGTCTCGAACCCGCAGGGTCAGGCAATCTACTTACCTCGGCCTCCCAAAGCGCTGGGATTACAAGCTGAGCCACCAAACCCGGCCAAAATAAAATTTTTTTTAAAGAAAAAAAAAAAGTATCTAGGCGGGGCTCAGTGCCTCAGCCTGTAATCCCAGAGCTTTGGGAGGCCGAGGTGATGTATTGCCTGAGCCCACGGTTTCGAGATCAGACCGGGCAATTTGGCGAGACCTCATATCTACAATAAATCAAAAAGTAGCCAGGCGTGATAGTGCGCATCTGTAGTTCCAGCTACTTGGAAGGCTGAGGCAGAAGGATTGCTGGATCCCAGCAGGTCAAGGCTCCGGTGGCCGGGAGCGTTCCGCTGAACTCCAGTCTGGGCGACTGAGTGAGACTCCAACTCAAAAAAAAAAAAAAAAGTATCTAATATATTTTTTCTGCTTGACATATACTACTGGGAGTGGTTAAGAAGAGCAGTGAATGACTGCTATGGGTCTGAATGTGTCAGTAGATTTTTAGATGGAAATCTAATCTCCAATGTGTTGGAATTAAGAGCTGGAGCCTTCATGAAGTGATTAGGTCATGAAGGTGAGTCCTCATGAATGGAACTAATGACTCCTCACACTTTCTACCATGTCAGGACACAGGGAGAAGGTGCCATTCATGAACTAGAAAATGGGCCCTTACAGCAATCAAATTTGCCAGCACCTTGGTCTTGGATATTCCATCCTCTAGAACTGAGAGAAATGCATTTATGTGTATTTATAAACTAGGCAGTATTTTGTTATAGCAGTCCAAATTAACTAAGACAATGTTCCACTCTGAACATTGCACAGTCACTCTTGTGTTCTTGTTAGTTCTGCCACATCTTAACAGTGCAACTACTATGTGAATCACAGATAACAATGTCAAACTTAAAGGGATGTTTTTGGAAAATAAAATTTTTTGGCGTTCTCAAACTTTTTGTTCTAAGGAGTCATCTGCACTCTGAAAAAGTATTGAAACCTGGAAGATTTTGTTTGTTTGTTTGTTTGTTTATGTGAGCGATACTTGCTAGCATACTATTAGAAATTAAAACTAAGACATTTTTAGTACACAAAATATGTATGTACACATATCATCAGCCATCAGACTGATGATGTCATCACATACATCATAGTCTTAAAATATATCACTATACCCTCATAGGATAATGAGAATTTTAAAAGGACAAATAATGCCCTAATATTATGATAAAAATAGTTTTGAATTTGTGGACCCCTTTGATAGAGTCTCAGGGACCCCAAGAGATACTCAAGACACATTCTGGAAGCTCTGCAACAATTCATACTTTAAAAATGTATTGCTGGGCATGGTGGCTTATGCCTGTAATCCCAGTATATTGGGAGGCCGAGGTGAGAGGATTGCCTTAGCCCAGAGGTTTGAGAGCATCCTGGGCAACTTGGCACGATCTGATCTCTGCAATAAAAATCAAAAATTAGCCAGGCATGATGGCACACACCTGTATTTCCAACTACTTGGAAGGCTGAGGCAAAAGGATGGCCTGAGTCTAGCAGGTCGAGGTTGTGGTAGCAGTCAGCTTATCATTGTACTCCAGCCTGGGTAACAGAGCAAAACTCCTACTCAAAAAAAAAAAAAAAAAAGAAGAAGAAGAAGAAGAAGAACAACAGTAACAATGAAAAGAAATTATCCCAGGGGCTAGAGTTTTTAAAATGCTGAATACCTTGATTCTATTATTTGCTATCTTTAGATTATGAATTCTATGAAGAGATTGGTGTCTCCTACAACTGTTTACCTTTAAGATGACACTCAGGAAAATTTTATTAAATGAAACAAATCCCATAGAACTCTGTTGCCATCTTTTGAGTAGATGGTACAGGTACTATACTTCCTTTTGGGAAATTGGCTTTAGGTTAAACCATACCCTGTCAACAAGGAAGCCTTTGGAACTGTGGTGTGATAGAAGATGAATCTGGAGTCATGTTATAACTTCAAGCAAGTTACAGTTTCTCTGAATCTCAAGTAATAAAGGAAAGTATATACAAGGTTTGGGCTATATGATCTCTAAAGTTCTTTTACTTCTAAAATTCAGTGTTCTAGGTACAATGTGTTCTGGTTTGCTAGAGTGGGTAGATGGATAGAAAAGTTTAACAAATGTTTAGGATTAGAAGCATGTAGGGAAACAACTCAAGATTAGCTTGGCAAGCCTCCAAAAATAAGATGGTATTTGCATAAGGAAATGCAGAAAGATTTGTCATGTTCAAATAAACACCTTATAGGATCCAGAGTTTGAAAACTCAAAGGCAACAGGAAGCAGCACTAAAGAACAAGGTTACTGAACTGTGATCTGAAGAACTTTGCTTGTTGCTGGAATGTGAACCTTCCTAAGATTAAATTATTGGCTGTCTTCAGGATATGATTAGAAATCTTCACAGGAATCTTGCCGTTGATTTGGGGTATAGACTATAGTCCTAATAGTACTTCACAACATGATAATAATGGAAAAGCAAAGATTCTCCAGGGTTTAACATGTGAATATACATAGGATATTTCCTAATTCTTCTTCCATGAAGACAATACCAGAAGAAAAAAATGTTAACTTGAAGAAATGAGAAATCAGTGTATTATAAAAAAGTATTGTTTTATAAATATTTTTATTAAATGTCAGAATGAACTATAGATAAAGTATATTCAGTTACTTTTGAAGAAAGTCATTTGTGTTACTATTATGATCTATCCAAGATTGTAGTGGTTAAGACTAAGAGTTTTGGAGTCACAATCCCAAATTGAGTCAGAATTTTAATATTTCTATAGCTGTATAATCCATGTATTTCTCTAAGTCTGACTTTTTTCATCTGTAAAATGGGATTACCACTCATTGTAAGGACCCTTTAGATGATAGTTATTATTATTACAAGCTATGTTGCTTTTCTTCAAACAAGAAAGAAAAACTCTTTGAAAATGGACATTTTAAGAATTTGAAAAATGAAATTTCTCTCAATTAAAAGATGGTTTAGTTAAAATTATTTTGTCCTATATTACCGCCTCAGAAAGTTTTAATTAGACAATTACCACATTCTGCAATTGAAATAGTGATATATACAAACCTATCATAGGTCAAAGTTAGGCCAGCGACTGGTTTGCTTTCACAGACTAGAGCAAAATATATTAGTTGAAAGAACCAGGACATTACAGAAGAATAAAGCGCGAATTTGGCAGTTCCAACTAAAGTCAACTTGAATTTCTTAATGATATATCCTCCTAAAAACAGTCCAGTGGCAATAGTAGGTAAAGCTAAGATTCCTAGAAATAAAGGAAAAAACATTTTAATTATATAAACATATGGTTTTCCTAATATGTCTTTATATACTAAACACATTGTATATGCTAAATTTATCCAATCGTATTACTTCTTAAATAGAAAGGTGACAGGCCAAGATGGAGGAAGGGGGCTAATGTAGCATATGAGAGAGTCAAAAGTAATTTCTTCCTGACAATGTTGAGGGTTTGATTTCCCCAGTAGCAAAAGGTAGTAGCTAAGCATATCTGTGGGTCTGAACAGACAGTTTCTATGAAGCACTTCATTTTTGTTTTCTGAAAACAACAGCAAAATATCATCTTTTTGGCTGTGAAACTAAGATCCTATCCTTTCAAATCTTTTACATCTCTTAAGATAGAATGTCTATCCTCAGTAACTCACTGCTGAATTTCCAAGGGTTTTAGAATTGAATACTTGAATTAATATCTTTTCATTATTTATCAAAACACACATATACACTAAGATGGTGAGCAAATCTACATACAGTATTAAAAATGGTTAATCCATCTTATAACTTTTCCATTTCATTGTCCCATATGAGTTATTGAACATGAAGATGCCTCTAACAAAAATTCAGGTCAGGTTATTAGGAGCCAAACATTAGATCCTCAAAGTTTAAACTGTTATCTTAAGTTCAACAAGGAGAACATACAGCAGCCACCTGGTCCAGTGCTTAAGTGCATGCATTTCCCAAACATTGTTTTCTTATATACTTATGACATAGTCAAATACCACTTGAATAAACTGTCTAATTCATCAAAAGTTTATTGAGTTTTTACAATGTTTCTACAAACTGAAGTTGTGGGAAGAATGATATAAGAAAACCATTTATGAAAAAAATATTGAGGCAAAACATACTCTCTAAAATAAAATATTTGTTTTGAATTGTGTATATTTTGATGATGTATTTTAAATGATTCTCATTTTGGAAACATTGGTATTATTATCTTTTTGTAGGTAACTAAGTTCCAATATTAAAATCCATGCATTATAATATTTATATTACAAAATAATTTGTCTGTGGATATAAGCACTAAATTAATTAGATTCAATTATGCAGATACATCTAAATGTTCCATTCATTCCACATCAAGTTTTTCTTTGGGAACTCATGTAACATGAGGTGTAACTTCATATGCAGATAATAATGACATCACAAATTTGACAAATTTAATTAAGTTTGAGAGAATAAAATAGAATTATATTTACTAAACTATGAAATCACTTCACAGTAAATGTCACTCAGAAAACAGCAATTCAGTAGTACTTTACTTATCAAGGAAATGGGTAAAAAAATATGTCTTACCCAACAAAAAGTTAATCTGAGATGCTGACTGATTATATTGTTGTTGTAAGTATTTGAAGATATAAGTAAAACTACCAATAAAGCTGCTGAAGTGTACCAATGTCGAAAACAAAAGCATGACATATGGGGCATTGGTAAGGATGCTTTTCAAAGACTGGAAAAACCCTAAAAAAATAAATAAAATGTTATAATCCAACAAAGATATATATTAATATCTGAATCCTATAAATTATATAAGATATAAAATTACATACATACATAACACAGAGAGTTCTCTGGAATTCTGTCAAACTTAAACAATTCTCCTTCTATGTTTTATATGTATTTAATATTTGTTTGATTTGTTTATTTTACCTCCAAATAGGATCATAAATAATGTTGTTTTGTAACTTGCTCTGTTCACTCGGTATTTGGTTATCCTTGGCACTTTGCCATATTATTGCATACATATTAATTTACTTATTAATTCATTCAACAAATATTTGGTTTTCAATTTCTAAGTTTTGAAAATATGCTAAGTGTTCAAGAAACAAAAATGATTAAGAAATCATGTTTTTTATTTATTAATAGTGTAATTATACTAATAATGCAATTATTGAATATAAATTTATATTAAAGATAGTATAATTGAAAACTCATAGAAATAAGAACACTCGAGTTTATAAATTTTTAAGATTTATTTTGTATAAAAACTCAGACCCCTTGAGTTCTTGGTATATATTCATTCTACAGCAAAATACTGCCTCAGTCTATCTAGTAATATTATAAATCACCTGTTTTAAATTGCAAGAAGAGACAGGGGATAATGATGCTGTATCTCAAGTGACATTAATGGCTATACTAGTACAGCTTATGACTATAAACAAGTATGACAACAAAGTCCTAACTTCTTTCCGTGGCAGAAATTATCTGATCTGTCATCACCAGATCAACCAACCATAACGCAAGTTAAAAGTGAAAGGAACTACTTAGAATAACAATAGAAGACATTAGAGTTCAACAAAACAGAAATAATTATTGAGAAATAATATGATAAATAATAAAATATCTTGATCTGTATAGCTCTCTAAAGATTTTTATTTTATTATTTTTGGTCAGGACTAAGTATTATCTACCAGTAACTAAGAGCTTCATCTGTTTATAAGAAAAAGAGAGGAGAGTTAAGGATATGTCACAGAAAAGAAAAAAGAACAGGTAAGGAAATTCACAACAGAAACAAAAACATTTAAGAGTTAGACCAAAGTGTCAAATCTCTCCATAGGACTCACCAGTTAAGAACCACCACTAACTTATTAGACAGTCTAAGTTAGTTGTGACTTTGGTTAAATAAGTGGAGCATTCAGATACAACAAATTATTGAATTTTTGCGTTGGATGAAATCTTAGATATCATCTACTTTTAACTTCTACACAATCAAGATTCACTATATATTCATAATAAGTGGATCAATAACTCAACTTATATTAAGCCTAATATCTCAAAAGCAATTTTCTTCACTTTTGAACAGTTTTTTTTGTTGTTTGTTTGTTTTTGTTTTTTTGAATTGGAGTCTCACTCTGTCACCCAAACTGGAGTGCAGTGGCCGCTCTCGGCCACCGCAGCTTCCACCTGCTGGGCTCTGGCTTTCCTTCCGCCTGAGCCTTCCAAGTAGCTGGAACTACAGGTGCGCGCTACCACGCCCGGCTAATTTTTTTTTATTTATTGTAGAGATGAGGTCTCACCAAGTTGCCCAGGTGGGTCTCGAACCCGCAGGCTCAGGCAATCCACTCACCTCAGCCTCTGAACAGTTTTTATTGTTTACATATTGTTTTTGTAATGAATTGAAATCTTCCATCTTTTTTCTAACCAAAGAGTCTTAGTTCTACTCAAAACATATATAATAGATCCAATATTTTTTCTGATTTTATTTTTATTTTATCAATTCCTAATAGTCACATAAGTAAGATCTCTTTTGCTACTCAGGTAACTGCCCTACCAAAACAGTTGATGAATATGTTTACAATTGTCCTATTTTTTGCAGCTTCATTATCCTCTCTCTTCTTTTTGAGTTCACAGTCAACATTGGTCCTTCTAGCTTTAGAAAATCCACTAATTTTTATATATTTGTTTTGGAGGGGTAGAAACAGTATATACAAATAGCAATTTCTTGACGTGCTATTTCTAGCATGCATGTTAAATTTCAAAAACTTTTAACTCAGTGGGATGTTGATAAATATTTAATAAATGATTATTGGGGGGAATGCTCAGATTTGTAGTATTTCCCAATTTCCATGGTAATAAATGATGGTAAATTACCCTGACCTGGATTATTTTCAACGATCACTTTAGCTAATATTTAACAGTCCCCTTTTATGAGCCAAAACAAAGGGTTCCAGCATACCATTGCTCTTAAATTAGTGTGATGGAGAGGCAAAAATAACAATAAAATGGTCGAATGAAAGACCTGATGAGTGGAAGAACTTGGGCTATAACAAAGAATTTTTAAACTTGCTTCAATAAAAACTTGAATATATTGCCAAGGATCTGTGTGTTGCACTGCTTTGGCTTTTACTATTTTCCCATTTTTCCCCAATCTGAAAACTGTTTTCAACAGCTCACAGTTTTACAATGCTCTGGCTGCTAGGAGATCATTCTCCAGATTATTGTTTCTCAGTGGTTCTTCATTTACCCCTAATGCTTACATTATACTCTAAGGATAAGGCACTATCACATGATGAAGGGCCCTAATTCACATTACTAACTTTAATTATCTTAACTACTACTGTTGCTTCCACTTCATTTTTGAATATTTAGATATGACATCTCTAATATAATCGCCAAGAAAAATAATATAACTCTAATTGCCTAGAGAGAAACCTTGCCTGACTTCCTTCCAATTATTTCATCTGTCCATCTGAGCATAGTTAAGTTTAACCTTACCATAGTACTTAAGACATTTTACTGCAACTGTCAATATACTTCCCACTATCACCACCAGGTTCTTGAAAAAGAGAGGCAATACTCTATCAGTAGGGCATAGTTTGGTGCCTGGTACCATTTGTGGAATAAATAATGAATAAAATATTATAATTTCTTTAACCCTCATAAATGACACCATACAATATTGAAATAAATGTAGATTCTGACTTATAAGGAACAGAGATTTTTAGTCTTTGGTTGGTCTCTCCCTGCTACAGAAAACAAACTTCTCTTCAATTTATGTGCTAAAAAAAAAAAAAAATGTTAACTTTAGTAGTAATTTTAGATAAATCATTTAGCTAAATTTAGTGAAAGTAAGCTAAGTTCAGATGATTTGAGAATGACTTCTTTAAATTGGAATATCCACTCCTCTCTTTCATTGATATTAACAATTCCAAGTTGACAAAGAATGTAAAATACATACCAGTCACATTTTCAGTATCATTTTTTCCATGGCTGGTCAAATTTTCTGTTGTATTCCTTTCTTCATTGGTTTTGAATACATGTGATGATATTGAAGTTTCCCTTTCTTTCTGTGGTTTATTGATATTTGATGGTAAAAAAAAGAATGGTATGGAAGAAATAAAGGATAGCAGTCCACACAATAGGAAACCAAGCCACCAAGCACCAACCCAACGAGAGTCATTAGGAGTTATTCTAATTGTGCCTAGAATAAATAATTAGAAGAAACCAGTCAAAAATCTATTTGAAATACAAAAACTTCTGGCAAATAATGATAATAATTGTTGTTTTTCATAGATGAAGAAAGTAATCCATATTTCATTAATTCAAAGACTATTTTATTCTTTTCTAATTTTGTTATCTCTGAAACCAGAATAAATCTAACATTTGAAAACATCTTCAATGCCATTGTCCAGAATTCAGTGATGACACTGTTGTCATTGCCTGAAGTGTGTGAACCTGGTAGCTTTTCTCACTACACATCTAGATGACTGTCATCGTTGACTATTTAGGTCTGCAAACCATGTAAGAATTGTTCATGAAAGAAACATTTATCCCCACTTTTTTTGAAAATGTCTACTAGCACCATCTGATGGAGTAAAAAAAGCACCATCAATGGAATTTTAGCAGTTTGCTAGAAACCCTCAGAGTTTATAAAGGAACTCACCACCAGAAACCAGAATTCTCAACTCTCTTGACAACACAGAGGATGAAAATAATACACATAAGAAAAATCTGAACTTAAAAGTAACCAAAAAATATTGGACTCAATGTTAGAAATAATGCAAACATCTGATATAAATTTTTTATTTTATTTTATTATAGAGATGTCGGGCACAAGTAAGGATTAACTTTACAAGTAGGCTGCATGCAAGTGAAGTTTGGACCTCCAAACAAAGAGTAATTCTGGTGGTGCCAAAAAATGTATACACATTTTAAGAGTTGTTAAGAGATGTTTGCCATAATCAAAAGTGTCTAGATGGTAATGGTAACCACTTTGAGCCCTTCTCGTAATTGCGTAAGTCAAACGTGACTCGCATTCATCCTAGTGAGTATTACAATTTTAATAGTTTTTTTTTTCTTTCTTAAAACTTGTATACATTTTTTGGGTACCATCTGAATATAATGTTATCTTTTATTTTTTTTTTTTAGTTGGAGTCTCATTCTGTCGCCCAGACCGGAGTGCAGTGGCCGCTCCCGGCCACCGCAGCCTCAATCTGCTGGGTTCCGGCGATCCTTCCACCTCAGCCTTCTGAGTAGCTGGAATTACAGGCATGCGCTACCACGCCCGGCTGATTTTTTGATTTATTGTAGAGATGAGGTCTTGCTGCCCAGGAGGGTCTCCAACCCGCGGGCTCAGGCAGTCCACTCACCTCAGCCTCCCAAAGGCACGGGATTACAGGCTGAGCCACCGAGCCGGCTGTATATAATGTTATATCTCAAGTGTAAATAAGCTATTTCAGTAGGTATAAAATAAGCATTCTAAGTAATTAAGTAAACACAAGATATCAGCAAAATTGCAATAGGAACCAAAACACTTTTTAAAAAAGAATACACTGATTCAAAAGTAATATATAGATCTGTTTCATGTCTGAATAATCTAGAAACTAGTTGAGAGTCTCTAGTTACTCCAGGCGAATGCAAAACCAGCTACACTGAATCAGTAAGACAATTGGAGACATCCTCTTGTCGTAATCCTTTTTTTGGTATAGTACTACACAACTGGTAAGAATTTGTAGTTTGAACTCATGTGTGGGCACTTGTCACAACAATTTCCCTTCTCAATACAGAGTGAATGTGTGAGGAAAAAACAAAACAAGCAAACAAATAAAAACAAACAAAAATTCCTTCTTATCTCTAGGGAGAGAAAAGTTGGACTACACATCTAACATTTCAACATTTCTAGGTGCTACCCAAGGAAAAGGCTTCTATCTACCCTATCTTGAAGTGCTAAAAACACCTAGCATATGCTAGACCTTGGGAGGCTACAGAGAACATAGATGGCAGTTTGAACTAGCATGTAGGCACTCATCACAGATCCTGCCCTCTACCTTAGTGCAGAGTGAGCAGGCAAAATCAGAAAGAAAGTCAAAACAAAAAATCTAGCTTCCAGCATCTCCATGGAGAGAGAAAGATTTGGTAGATATTTGAAATTGCTCAGTCAGAGGAAGAAAGAAAACTTTTGTTTTTAATGGAGAAAGCTTAAAGAACCTTTAGGACTCCATCAAGAGGACAAATATGTAATGAGATCTTCACAATAAAAAGAAAGAGAAAAATCAAGTAGAGAAAAGGATTAAATAATTAGTAGCTGAAACTTCCAAAATCTTGGATCAGAAATGGGTATTCAAATTCTGGAAGACTGAAGGAATCCAAATACAATGAACAAAAATAAATCTATACCAAGATACAGTATAATCAAGTTGCCAAAACACAGAGAAAAAGATTTTTTAAATCAAGAAGAGAAAATCAAGCTGGCATGCTTAAGAAAATATCCATAAAACTATCAGTGCTTTTCTCAGTAGAAATCTTGTAGGTCAGGAGAAAGTGGGATGCCAATTCAAAGTGCAATAAAAAAGAAAGGAAAAAACGTGACAACTAAAATTACTATACCATAAAAACTGTCCTTCAAAAATGGAGACAGAAAAACTTTTTCAAAAAAACAAAAGCTAGGGGAGTTCCTCACCTCTAGATCCTCCTTATAAGTAAAACTAAAAGAAATTCTTCAATTTGAAACAAAAGAAGGCTAAATAGCAATATGATGGCAGAAAACTCACTGGTAAAGATAAAAACAGAAAAATACAGAATACGAGATTTCTCTCTGTCTGATTAGTGATGGGCAAATTATTTTAATTAGAGTACAAAAATTAAAAGACCAAATAGTTAAAATAATTATATCTTAACATATGTATTATATGTCTCTTAGCAGGTGCAATAAAAATTTATAAAAAGTACACAAAAAATAAAAACAAAGCATATCCATACATAAAAATCAACAAATCACAAAGAAAATAGCAAGAGAGAAAAAGAAGGACAAAAACACTACAAGACAAATACAAAACAATTAACAAAAATTGAAATAGTTACTTCTCCCCTCTCAATAATGTCTCTAAATGTAAATTTATTAAACTTTCTAACCAAAAGACATAGAAAGACTGAGTGAATAAAACAAGATAGACTATACGCTGGCTGTAAGAGACTCATTTTAGATTTAAGGACACACATGAAAGACTTTAAATGCAAATTTCAACAAAAAGAAGGGTGGTCATACATATCCAGACTAATTAAATTTTAAGTAAAAAACTGTCTTAAGAGGCAGCAAAGAACATTGTAAAATAATTTTTAAAAGTTAATTAACCAGGAAGATAACAATTAAAAGTATATATGCACTCAACTTCAGAAAACCTAAATATATAAAGCAAACATTGAAAGAACCAAAGGGAAAAATATATAGGAATTCAATACAGTTGTCTCTTGGCATCTGTGAGGTATTAATTTCAAGATCACCAACAGATATCAAAATTCACAAATGTTCAATTTCCTTCTATAAAATGGTGTTGTGTAAATTAATACCTCACAAATGCCAAGAGACAACCATATTGAATTCCTCTATATTTTTCCCTTTGGTTCATATACACAATGGATTATTATGCAGCCATAAAGAAAGACAAACCTATGGACTTTGCAACAACTTGGATGGATTTAGAGTCAATCATCCTCAGTGATCTATCACAGAAAAAATTAGCTGAGTACCATATGTTGTCATTCATAAGTAGACCTTGAACAATTATAATACTATAAGAAAGGGATTGGCAGTAGTGGAAAACTTTCAGGGGAGGGGGATGGGAGTGACAGTTGAGGGAAACTGCTAGGGGAAGGAGGGGCACACCTCATCAACAAGGGTACTTGCATAACAAACATTTGTATACCTAACCCTGAATTGTACCCCACATCTTTATAATTAAAAAAAAGAAAACAATCTTATTTAAAGGAGTTTTAGATAAATATGGAAAAACTGTTAAAATATTCTATGTTATATTGCTATAAAATTATAATTTTATTACTAATTAGAGATATAGTAATATTTTGCTTTCCATAAATTAGGAACCCTTTATACATTTTTTAGATGCATTCATAAAAATGAGCAGAAAGCACATAAAATTAGGGATTCACCAACTTTGTGAGAACTTAATTGATCACAAGAGACAAATACTAGACTAGTCCCCTTAGCAAAGGATCTGTGATTAAAAGATTCTAAAAAATAATAATTGAAGCATTTTCAGTTACAATAAAGAGACATGGTTAAGAAAAAATGTAATATTTTACTGTCGCTGTTAAATAAATATCCATAATGAAAAAAATGGTGTTGTACACTGGCCCTCCATAATGGGCGGATTGTAATAATAAAAGAACTTAATATCTCATTTTCAGCTATGAATAAGGTAACACTATTCAGTTATGAATAAGACAACATACTATTGAGGAAATAGAGGACTTCAACAACACTATAGGCCAATTGGACACTTTATTCAACAACAGCAGAATATATATTTTTCTCAAGCAGAAACTGAATATTTTTTAAGATAGACTATATGTTAGGCCACAAAACGAGTCTTAACAAGCTTAAGACTAAAATCATACAAATTATCTTTTCCAATTACAATGGAATAAAACTAAAAATCAACAACAGAAAATAATACTCAGTAAAATTCAACACCCTTTCATGACAAAAACTTTCAACAAGTTAAGAAGAGAGGAAAATTGCCTCAGCATAATGAAGGTTATACATGAGAAGCCCACAGCTAACAGCAGATTCAAGGATAAAGTACTGAAAACTTTAAGGAACAAAGGAAGGATGCTCGTTCTCATCCCTTCTAGTCAGCATAATACAGTAAGTCTTGGCCAGACCAATTAAGTTAGAAAAATAAATTAAAGGCATCCAAGTTAGGAAGAAGTAAAATTGTCTCTATTCACAGATAACATGACATTATATACACAAAACCCTGAAAAATTCACACACCAAAAACAAATCAGTTTTAACTGTATAAACAAATTCAGTAAATTTGCGGGATACAAGATTATCATAAGAAAGTTATATTTATTTAGGCTGACAACCCTCTGGAAAGAAAATTAGGAAAAACAATTCCATTTACAATAATAAATAAATAAAACACTTAAGAATAAATTTAACAAAGTAGGTGAAAAACT